CTTTTCTTTATATCCAATGATGACATCATCTAGATCTTTGAACTCAGTGCTAAAGAGGATCACCACACAGCTTTTCTTTATATCCACATAATGATACCTACAGATTTTATACCAATTTTTGAAATTAATCATTATTTTCATTCAAATAAGTAATGAATTGGGGAAAATTATCCAACAGTTTACTTAATATACATTTTTACAAAATAAATCATTAATATTATCAACTGCCACAATCAATAAATGGAATAACTTATTCACAATGTTTCTGAAAGATCTCACTTCTATACAGTGCTTTTGAAAAATGTTTAGCTAACAGTGAGAAGTTACTAGTATTTGTCTTAAAGAGACGTTATGCAATTTTGTATTCGCCAATAGCTTTTATTTTTTCTGTTCTGTTATTGATCACAGCTCTCTTTCATCCTACCTCCCCTTTTTCTTGAATATCAAAGAATTTTTCAAATACAGATGGAAAGCAGTTACACTCCAGAAGCCTTCTTGGCTACCACTGACCAATCACAGGGAATATCTTCTTTATCATGGACTTATGAAATAATATAAACTGAAAATATATAAATTTTCATTAAAAAAATTAAAAGAAAAAGAAAAATATTTTAATTTTTCAGAATTTCAAAAAGCTTACTAAACGTATCTGTTAGAATGTTGCAATGGTGTGTGTGTGTGTGTGCGTGTGTGTGCATGTGTGGACCATGGTAGCCATGGAAACCCAAGGACTTTCTGAGTGTCAATCTTTGACCTTATCCAACATAATAATGACAATTAACATGCCTAATTTTTCTTTCTCAAATATATATTTGAAGTTATAAATATTCACTTAATAAATAAAGAAGAGATCTTATCCATTAAAAAGACATTAAAGGACACATCCCTCAATACTTACTCATTACATTACATTACATTACATTACATTACATTACATTACATTATATAATACATTTGTCTTCATCTGGGTTGGCTATATAGTATACAACATCATCTAGACCTAAAATATGAAGAAAGGACACAATTTAAGAAAGGAAAAATATGGTTGCATGTATATATAACTGAAAAAAGAAATGAAATACCCATCACTAACAACAGCCATATTATCCTTCACTATTTCTCAGGTCTTCTGCTTTTTTTGTTAACTAGTGGTGGATTTGGGGGGGGGGGGGGGGGGGTCAAGGGGGTCCTGACCCCTGCTTCCATTTCTGAAAAAANCATTAGGATATCGGGTCACTGACCTTATCCAACATAATAATGACAATTAACATGCCTAATTTTTTTTCTCAAATATATATTTGAAGTTATAAATATTCACTTAATAAATAAAGAAGAGATCTTATCCATTAAAAAGACATAAAAGGGCACATGCCTCAATACTCACTCATTACATTACATTACATTTGTCTTTATCTGGGTTGGCTATATGGTATACAACACTGTCTAGACCTAAAATATGAAGAAAGGACACAATTTGAGAATAGAAAAATATGGTTGCATGTATATATAACTGAAAAAAGAAATGAAATACTCATCACTAACAACAGTCATATTATCCTTCACTATTTCTCAGGTCTTCTGCTTTTTTTGTGAACTAGTGGTGGATTTAGGGGGGGGTGTCAAGGGGGTCCTGACCCCTGCTTCCATTTCTGAAAAAAATCACACCAATGGTCCCCTCTTGAAATTAGAAATTTGACTAGCTGAATCATAGTTCTAAACCATTTGCTCTCCAAAATACCAAAAATTTTTTTGGGGCCCTTGTCCTTGACCCCAAGGCGAAAAGAGGGGGGTGGGGGTGGCTTAGCATCCCCCCCCCCATACTAATAAATCAACTAATTGGTCACAACCAAACAAAAAAATCCACTTCTTGCCTATCAGGAAAGTTTCTTCAAAATCCCTATATACATTGTTGCATAACATGCTGCCTGTGCTGACAAACATTCAATTAATCATCTTATTATTAAGAAATGAATTTTTTATCTTGTTTCTTGGTCCCCTCAGTTTTTGAAAAATGTCATCAAAATTTATCCATAATTAACTTTTAGCATTATATTTTGAAGAGACAGATAAACCAAGCAAAAAGCACAACCAGTGATTCGTGGAGAAAATGAATTAAGTTTTTAAGTCTATCACTGGAATAATATTATTTCTCAATCTTAATTACTAAAAATAACTGCATGTCAAATAATAGATTTGAAACATAAATCATTATTCATATTTCACTATTAACTGTAAAGTGTTTGATATCCTTGTTAATCCCACCTGGTGAATTTCTACAATTCCTCTTCCCTCCCCATATTCAAAGAGTGTCATTTGGTAAAGATCAAGTAAACTTCTTTGAGCAAAAAGTCACCAAAGCTCCATTTGTGACATTTCTACAAACAATTGCTTTACTGAATTACTTATTACATCATCTACAGAAACAGCCTGGCATGTGTGACAAATACAAACTGACTGATAAAATCACTTCTTGTCTTTTATCTGGCTAGGTGTAAATTGATGGAACTTCATGTTACCTGTTAAAACTGGGATCCAATATAATTGTTTGGATCTTAGCTGTTAATCAATGCTTAGTGAAGTGATGACAGACAATTATGTGCAGTGTAGATAACATCTTTAAAACATGACATCTGAAGTATTGAAGACAAATGACTTCAACCAAGCAGATATGTCCACTGTAACTGACAGTTAACACTGTGCAATAATATAGAATGTCTGTATTCAAGATTTTATGTAGCAGTAGCCAACTACCAGTATATATATTGCCTACATGTAGTATAAAAACTAGGTATATTAATACAATCAGATCAAACAGACTCCAAGCCTGGATAAACAGTAATCAGAGATTGCGCTGCTGAATTTTAGTATTGGACAGGAACTTTCAAGCCAGAATAATTCCTACAGATTTTCCAAGTCAAGGTACGTGCATAGCAAGTTTACAATACTGGCTTAGCAATGTTTAAGACACTGGCATAACTACAGCTGAGGAATTGTCAGGAAAAAAGGACAACAAACAGGAAATAATATCTGTGACAAGACTATCACAACTAAGTTCTTGTACCATTCATGCAAAAATGCAGGCTGGAGAGAAACTTCACAAGTGCAGATACTGCGAGAAAACTTTTGCACACAAAGGCTATCGCACCTTTCATGAAAGAATTCACACAGGAGAGAAACCTTACAAGTGTAGATTCTGTATTGAAGCTTTTAACTGCAAAGTTTCTTGCATCATTCATGAAAGAATTCACACAAGAGAGAGACTTTTCAAGTGCAGATTCTGTGTCAAATCTTTTAACAGCCAAGTTTTTTGCAACATTCATGAGAGAATTCACACTGGAAAGAGACTATTCCAGAGTAGTTTCTTTGACCAAACTTTCACACAACAAGGGCATTGCACATATCATGAAAGGATTCACACAAGAGAGGAGCCATGTAAATGCAGATTTTGTGACAAAACCTTTAACAGCCAAGTTTCTTGCAACATACATTCTAGAATGCACACTGAAGAGATTATAACAAAATCAGCCTATATTACACATAAAAAAATTCACACTACTAAAAACTCATACAAATGCACATTTTGTGGAGTAGAATTCATTCAAGGGCATAGCTCCAAAACACATGGAAAAACCCACACCACAGGAAATCATGGCACCAACATTATACAAGAAACTTGTGGCATTGAAAGTGGGCAAAGCAATGTTCAAGATCATGATGATGACATTTTTACCACAGAGAATATCAGCATCATTACTGACAATGATGTCTATGAAATACTTACTGGCATAAAAAGGACCACGCCAGGTGTCATCACAACAATTATGAAAAATCCTTTCTACAACTCAAAATGATATGTTCAGATGACAGAAAAAGAAAACTAATACAGAGTCATAACTAAGCTATTTTTGGACAATCAATTTAAGAACAATCTAATTTTATAACTCATACATTTGATTTTAACATTTTATGTTTAACAATTATTATTGCTCTCAAACGTACTCTCATCAGACACATTAGTTATTATAGATCATCAATAAGAAAAGAATTGCCCTTAGTCAAATACATACCATTACACCAAAATATCCATATCTCCTCTCTTTAAATGTTAAAATTTGCAAATTTGGATACACAAGTGTTTCATTAAGGAATTCTGAGTCTACTGGATAAAAACCATTTAAAGCATTTCAAAGTTTTTTAATCTATCAAATTTATATATTCAGTGACTTAGCGACAGAATAAACAGTTGAAAAAGAAACATCTTTCTGTTTATTCAGGATAATGAATGTTTGATTAAACCAGACATCAAAGACGGTTCATATACAGACATTAAAGAAACAACTAGGCAAGTCAGATGGTGAAAGAGTTTAAAGGGATAATAACTCTTCGTTTCGGCCAGGAAACGCTCTTGTGCAAAGAATACGTATCTAAAGGCAGGATTAATGCACAGCATTTTTTTTAGATATACCTATGACATACGTGTGTGATGAGTTTCATAACTGACACAGTAGTAGTTTAGATATGTGTATTCTACTTAAGAAATATATTAAATGTTAAAACAAAATTTAAGTTCTTCAAAATTAAATTTCGTTTAAGATGTCTTATTTTATCGATTTTAAAAAATGAAATGCAACAGACTTTCTCAAGACTGCCCTCCGTGGCCCAACTAATGTGCATATATATGTATGTATTAAGAGGAGAAAGGGTGTGTCTGTTACTGGGCTTCTGTCATTAGATCTCCTTTTGTGTAAGCTTACGTGTATTTCAAGTGCTTATGCAAATTAAATGACCATAATTAAAAATGTATAAAATATTTACATCCATTTTGATTCAAAAACTGACATACAGTAGCAGGTTCGAATGTTAACTTGATTGCCAGAAATATTTTCATTCGGTACTTTTTATTACTATTCATTCAAACCAATGGCTATAATCGGGTTTTCTGCATGAAAGGAATTAAATTCAAATACCAGATTTTGACCGTCAGTTCTGAACTCTCGAAATGCGGCAGAGTCTGTGTATGATTCTGAAAACAGGGTATTGTGGAGTGGGGGGGAGGAGCATGTCTTGGAGACGGCTTTCTCTCTGTGCTCCAGATCTCGCTTTCGTGAACTCGGATGATTTATGATTTTTATGTACATTATTGAGTCACTGTACATTCATTTTCGTCTTTGTTATCTTGTTATAACCAGTAGGAGAATAACGACATGAAAGGCAAATAAAGACTTAAATAATATGACGTCAACACAGATTATGCAAAAAATACATTTTTCACGAGAAGAAACCTTTATGCGCATTTACATTGTAATGTTAATGTAGAAATAGCGTCTCTCTCTTTCTCTCTACGGAGTAGTATTCTGACATCAGAAGATACAAAGAAAAATGTAAGCACGACGAATGCTTTAATAAGTAATTTGTCTTCATCTTGATTCCAGGACCTTCATCTCCTCCGGAATCACATTAATCTGCAAAAGTTGGTTCAGTTTTGATAATTATTCGTAACCCATTTCACACTTTATTTAATTTCGGTCATTTCATTTTCTTAGTACATCTTTAGGTTTACTATTTGGAAAATGATTTCCCATCATATTTGATCTGATGTTTCTACCTGTAGTGAAACATAGAAAGCTGAGACGCAGTTTTTTGGTGCACAGAGAATTTTGAGTGTACTGTGGGTAAAAGAGACGAAACGNTCGTTTAGCAGCTTCAGTAGGCGTGCCAGACATCTAAGCCGCCAGAGCTAGTATTTTGTCTGTTTTACACACTGTATACTGAAATTATATGTGAACTATATTATCTTGGGCTTTTTTCGTCCTAAATGTGCTCATATGATTCTTAACACAGGTGCTGAGCTAACTTGTTCTCCGGTTTGGTGATGCATAATAAAATAACACCTAAAACCGCTTTATTTCAGTTTCTGTGCAGAGACTAGTAGCAAAGACAGATCTTTAATAAAACAGCAGGAGAAACAATGAGTACAAACACTTTATTGGTCAAGCTGTATTACTTGATTTTAATAAACGAATTCCATCATGCAGTGCGTTTATTTACTTTCCTGAAATTGTTAACGGAAAATATTTGATAATTCTTTTTAAGACTTAAAAGTAGAGAGAGGAGTGAAATAAATCTTGATACTAATAGCCCCCGTAGAGGCGTTCAAAATTTGTGCTGACGCCGTGAAATACCAACGGTATTTGGATATAGTTTTCACTCAGCAATAACCACGCTTCGGTCCCTGGGAGTTGTAGGTCCCACACTGAAAATGCCAAATAAAAAATGAAAATTTACCCCCCAAAATTCATTACTTCAAAAATAAATGAATAATCCAATGAGACTAGTATTCTGCAACGGTGGATTTAGAAGGGGGGTCAGGGGGGTCCTGACCCCCCCCCTTCGGTTTCTGAAAAATATATCACAACCAATATTCCCCTCTTGAAAT